TGGATAATAGTTCTTTGTCAGATGTGCCTTTTGCAAATAAGTTCCCCCACTCTGTGTCTTATTCTCTAATTCTATTGATATTGTCTTTCACAGAGCAGAAGCTTTTAATTTTAATTAAGTCTAACCTATCAACTATTTCTTTCATGGATGATGTCGCTGGTGTTATATCTAAAAAGGCGTCACCTTACCCAAATTCATCTAGATTTTCTCCTATGTTATCTTCTGGGAGTTTTATAGTGTTGTGTCTTATCAACCATTTTTTACTAATTCTAGCTATGTTCACTTTCTCATTCAATTACAAATCGTCCCAATGTTTCACACTATCCTCAAGCCTTCTCTCCAACTTCTCACCCTCACTCTTGCAGATAATTTAGTCTCTTCTCTTACAAATGGAAAGATCAAATATAACTTTCCTAAATTTTCTACTCTTTTCCTCACAAAGGACCTACATCTGTCCTCACTCTCCCAGCCTCCCCCAGGCTCACAAGATGAGGCAGCTCCAATCCTGTTCAAGGACAGCCCCTTCCCTGTGCTCTTCATTTCATCCACTCCCATCTCCTTGGTCTGTGTTCTTTCCTATGTCAGCAAACTCTTATTCTCTACCAATTATTTCTCCTCAAGCAAAAAATATGCTCAATTCTTGCCCATACTAAAAAAAAAAAAAAAAAAAAATCCCCAAACCAAGAAAACAGCAGCTGCAGCAACAAAAACAGAAACACCTCCTTTGACCCTGTGTCTATTCTGGTTTTAACCATCTTTCATCCTCCTCTGCGTAGAGCTCTTTTCAGTCATTGTCTCAATTTTTTTACTTCCCATTCACTTCTTAACTCAGTGAACTCTGACTTATCCCACCACTGAATTGCGACTGGCATAGCTCAAGACACTGTGATGTCTGCGTTGCACTTTACACATCCCTTTCTGTGCTGAATTGGACACTCCCAACCACACACTCCTTGAAATTCACCTTGCCTTGGGTTCCATGACCTCATTGCTCTTACTTCTCTGACATTCCTTTTCAGACTCTTTTCTGACCACCTCTTATATGTGGGTATTTCCCCAGGATTCCACCATGAGCCACCGCCATTTTACTCAGAGTTTTAACTGCCGCCTGTACATGTATGCTGATGACTTGCAGTCCCTACACCTCCAGTCCTAACATCTCCATTTTGCTTCAGAGGTCAGGTCACTTCTGTGCACGTTTCCCACAGGTACCTCAGATTCAACATGGCCTTGGCTGAATTCATCATCAATTCACCCGCCTTCCAACACTTGGTTCTCTTCTTCTATTTCTTCTGTGTGGGTAGTCCCAGGAGTTTCAAAATCATTCTAGAACAGCATAATGTCCAATAAAATAATAATGCAAGCCACATATGTTATTTAAAAATTTCTGGTAGCCACATTAAAAAAATCAAATGAAGCAGGTGAAATGGATATTAAAAATAGATTTTGTTTTACCCAATATATCCAAAATATTATAATTTCAACATGTGATAAATTTTAAAAGATTTATTGAGATATTTTACCTTTTTTCTTTTTGGTGAGGAAGATTAGCCCTGAGCTAACATCTGTTGCCATCCCTTCTCTTTTTGCTGAGGAAGACTGGCCCTAAGCTAACATTTCTGCCCATCTTCCTCTATTTTATGTGGGATGCCTGCCACAGCATGGCTTGGTAAGTGGTGCGTAGGTCCATGCCCAGGGTCTGCCGCCGAAGTGGAGCATGTGAACTTAACCACTGTGCCACCAGGCAGGCCCCTACATTATTATTTTTTTTTTTTTGTACAAAATTTTCAGAATCCAGTGTGCATTTTACACTTATTGTACATCTGAATTGAAATTAGTCACTAGGGCTCACTAACCATGTGTGGCTAGTGGCTACTGTACAGTGCAGTTCTGGAGTCTTTACCTTCACTAATCTCCCTCTCATCGAGTCATAAGGCCTGTTGATTTTATCTCCCAGGTATGTCTCCAGGAGGATCATTTGTTTTCATCCTTACTACATCATGGCTCTAGTTCACACCTTGGTCATTTCTCACTTGTGTTCTTGCAGTAGCTTACATAACCTAGTTTCTCTGCCCCAGGAGCATGCAAAATCCACTGGAACGCAGGAGGATACAGTAGAACTGCTACTTATGTGTATTTTTATCTAGAAAATAAGAAAACAGTTCAGATTTATTAATATTTAATATACATATTGATGCCAGGTCCCTCGCTCTGTAACTCTAAGTCATTGATAAAGTGATAAATGTAACAAAATAACATTTCCCCCACAAAAAAAAAAAATATTATTAATTTTATCTTCATGTCATACTTTCAAATTTCTCTATGATGTACATAATTTATTAATACAATGGTCATATATAATTTAAAAATAAATTTACTTGTGTACTTGAAATTTATTTTAGTACTGCCAGGGGAGTGAGATCACTAAAATTTGGAGTCTCATTGTAACTGGATTCAATCTGTACCCCACTTGCCTCTCCAGCTTCAACTTCTTCATCCCCACCTCACATTTGTTGCATTAAGTGGCTCTTCCATATTTTGCTCTTGTTTGTCCTTTATATAGATAAACAAACAGGCTAACAAACTACTTCCTGACCTGACTAATTCTCTTTCTCTTCCAGGCTCTTCTGAAGTACCATCTCTTTAAGGAAAGTCTATTACAGCTTCCTAAGTTGTGTTGAGTTCCCCTTCTCTGCTTGGCATACATCTCTTACTACAATGATTATATTAAAATTCTCTCTTTATGGATCTGCCTTCCTACTAAAGTATAATATTATTGAGGGCAGAGATTGTAGCATCATCATGCTTTTTTTCATCTTGGTATATAATAGGTTCTTAAGAAATGTTTATTGAGGGCCGGCCCCGTGGCTTAGCGGTTAAGTGCGTGCGCTCCGCTGCTGGTGGCCCGGGTTCGGATCCCGGGCGCGCACCGACGCACC